AAGAAAAAAAAGAAAGAATAAAAAAAAATAAAAAGCTAAAAAAAAGGAGAAAAATTCTTTTCCCCTCGAAATCATCTCCATCGCAATCCTTAGGCCTCGTCCTCGATGTCCGACCAGGAGAACTGACTATGGCCCATGTTATCAAAGTGGTGCTGGAAGTGAGGGTCTTCGTTGGACATTTTCTTGAAGCGCTGATGGAGGAGGCTCTTTGCGTACTTGTAGAGCTCAATGTCCAGGTAGTTCAGCTCTTTTATCCGTTCAAGGGTTGAGGGGGCAATGTCACTGAAGGCAGAATCTGATATGGTTTGATTGTGTTGTTCAAATCTCACTTTGAACCTGCAAGCAAGGAATAAAAGAGACAGGGACTGAGTGTGTTGTGTGTGCGTGCGTGCGTGCGAGAGAGAGAGAGAGAGAGAGAGAGAGAGAGAGAGAGAGAGAGAGAGAGAGAGAGAGAGAGAGAGAGAGAGAGAGAGAGAGAGAGAGAGAGAGAGAGAGAGAGAGAGAGAGAGAGAGAGAGAGAGAGAAAGTAAAAGTACACCCAGCAGATTTAATGTGGCCAAGAAAAGCAAGATGAAAATATAAACAATGTGTAACTGTACAATATAAATATTGAAGTGGGCAGCCCTAATTTTAGTTACTTTTGGGCGGCCCCCCCAGACTTATTGTTGTTACCCCGTGCCCCCCACCAGAAAATTCTCTGGACCCGCCCCTGCATGCACAGCTTCACAATTTACAAAGATGTCTTTATCTATAATTAAAGTTGCATAAAGAGAATTCATTCACTCGTAAATGAAGACTACTTTCTAATTGCAAATATAGCAGTCTATAATTCCTGAATATTACAGAGAAAATGTACACAGTACATAGTACATCAATTATTGTGCCACAGTTTGCATACATGTGTTAATCATCAAAAATTACAAAGTAAATCTTAACATATTAACCTTCAAAAATTACATAGCAAAGCTGTGTATGCAAAATATATTTAAAATAATAATAATGTAAAAAGAATATATAAATAAAACAATTTATAATAATAGCTGTAATAAAAAATATGTTTAAAAAAATCACACCATATGATAACTCAAATCTCCAACTTACTTTAAATTGAAGGTTTCCTCAAAAAGGTACTGACTAATTTCTTGGTCTTCTGTAAGGCCAAAGAACGCCATCTTCTTCAGGTTGTTCTTTGCCGACAGCAGCATGGTGTTTGCCCGTTCCTCTGGGCTCATGAGCGAGATGTTATAGCAGCCAACTAAGGCTAAATCTGGAAAAAAAAGGGGGAAATGAAATTCATAAATCTTATAAACCAATATCCAAAATACTGTAAAGAACACTTTTTCTTCTCTAGAAATATCCAGTAGTAATCTTTATTTACAGTCATATTCCTGTTCAACTACAAGAGCTTGGTGGAAGTTCTTTACACTTCTAAGAGAACTATTAATTCCACACATGTAAATCATTACTTGGTACCAAGAGAGTATTGTTTAGTTCTCAGGCTTTTTGCTTTGAAAGCTCATTTTAGTGAATCCGGACAAGATGCACCTAGGTTGATTGGTATTTTCTGTCATCCCTCTTTACCATATAAACTTTTCTTTTATACTTTAAAAATCTATATGAAAGTTTATTAAACATCCTTCCCACATTTTGAAGACCTTTTCCCACTTTGTAAAACTTCTTACTCCACTTGAGTTCAATTTTCTCTTTTGATAATAACTCTTGAAAGCTTCTTAAGTCTTGGAGACATCAATTACTTGTTCAATGCAGATCTGCGTAAAAACAAAACAAACAGACAAATGATAAACTGGTCAAGCGGAATATGTAGTAATGTATAGTGATTTAGATAACGCCAATGGATCAATCTAAACCTTCTAAAAATGTTCTTTTCTGTTCTAGTAGTAAAGACTTCTCCAACTACTTTGAATTTTTTTCAGCTGGTTTGTTAAAATTGTGCAAGGCATGACCCACTGAATATTCATTGAACAGACAAGCATATATACAGAAATAAACACATATCTACTAGTCTAGACATGCATATTTACCAGATGCATAGGTACAAACGCATAGCTATCAGACAGACAGATATGCATTTGCTGCTGTCTAAATGCATGTCCTGATAAATGAATATTCGTTGGGTCAAGCCTCGTACTATTCTAACAAACTGGCAATAATTACATGTAATAATATCCTGACACTTGCAGGACATGGGAAATCACATAAATGTCATGAATGCGAAAACAAGTCTCTGGTAATGCAAATCTGTAGGCTGTAATTAGCAAGGGAAAAAGATAACGTAGATTTGGCATCTCAATTTCACAAGAAAAGACTCTTTCTATTTGATTTTCTTTGGATGGCAGAAACAAGAAAATACAGAAAAACTGCATTAGCAACAGTACCCTGGTGCGAATCAGCGAGTCAAGAATTGTTCTGATTGGTGCTGTTAGCTGAATGTTGCACTGAATACAACTTCTGTGACGGGCAAAGTAATCTCGGGAAAAAC